GGTTTAGATTAGACATCCTTAAGAACTACTTCACAGTTAGGGCGCCTAGGATCTGAAACCAACTTCCAAGGGAAGTGGTGCTGGCTCCTACCCTGGGGGTCTTTAAGAGGAGGCTTGATCATTTGAGCCTAGCTGGGATCATTTGAGCCCAGTTTTTTTTCTCCTGCCCCGGCAGGGGGTTGGACTTGAAGATCTACAAAGTCCCTTCCGACCCTACTTCTATGATTCTATGAATTTATTTGAAAATAGAGAAAAAAATCCAAAAATATTTATAATACATTGGGATTCTATTAGTGTTTATCTCCGTATTTAAAATTGTGATTAATTTCGCAATTAATTGCAGTTAATTTTTTTAATCGTTTGGTAGCCCTATTATAAAGTAACAAATGTCCTAAAATGAACCAGTCCCCATAGACAGGTAGTTAGCTATGTTAGTCTGAATTTAGAGGGAAGGCAGGGTAGGGTAGGGTAGCATTTATACATTAGCAACAGCCTTGAGTTAATCTCTCAATCTATAACTCAACTTCTAAGTAATTGCGGGGGAGGTGGGCAGATGGCTGGAGGCATCACCATGGATCACACCACTGTGCACCATAGTCCCCTCCCAAGCTGCCATGTGGGTGCCTCTTCTCTACTGTTCTGTGCAGGTGCCCCAGGTCAGAGGTTCCCCCTGCCCTGTGGGCTGTGTTATGCTGGCCACCCCTGGGGCAGGGGCAGGAATCGGAAGCCAGAGAAAGGATGGGGAGCTGAGATCTGGTTGCTGCTAGACCAGTGGGGGAGAAGGGCAGATGGGTGAGAGTTTGGGGGCTGCAGATTAACCTCTCGCAGGTTGCCAGTTGGACACCATTGGACTATCTCATTTAGACAGGCATAAACATTTGTAGGCAATGACTTACTTTTTAGATGCTTCTCTTTATGAGAGAGAGCTCTCTATCAACAGACAGGCACAATGACAGCAGACTCCATCTGTGGAGATGCAGTTGAAATCAGCAGAAGTACTTTTTGCTCAGCTAATTGCATCTGTGGATTTTGCAAGCCCTCCCTATAATATATTTTACTTAGTGACATAAAAAATGGCATAAGACTTTTTTCCCCCACAGTTCAAGAACAAGGGATGGTTATTTATTTATTTGCTTTATATGCCACCCTTCCGAACAAAGGCTCAGGGTGGCTTACAATAATTCCCCCATGAATAATTCAGTCAAATTAACAAATTTAAAACTGAAAAGGAAACTTTTCACACAGTGCATATTTGATATGTAGAACTTGTTGTGGCTGTTTACCACTGAGACAAATAGCTTAGTAGAACTCACAAAAGGTTGAACATTTATATGGATGTTAAACTAGTCAGGGTCTGGAAAGCTCAAGGGATATAAATTTCAATGTTTCAAATAAGCTTTAGTAGGAAAACTAGGAAAACATTTCCCTTAGGGCAGATTATTCCATATTTTCCTATTGTAAGTTTTCTTGAACTATAGTCTGAAAGATTTGCCATTTGTCACTGTTAAGACACAAGAGAACACTAATCTGATTTATTATTAGTTCCTCTACAATATTTTTATGATGTCAATGAATTTTAAATAAAGATTGTAGTGCTGAACTAATAATTCCTCAGAATTTCTCATGTAGAGTTCCATTACACTAACTCTTGCCTATTAATGCAGAAATGGTATTTAGTAAAGTTCCAAAACTGGAGCAGAAAGTTAGAGCAGCAGATTAGATAAGGGAGAGGGATCCAAGTGGCACTTGGGGGCATGAGTTTAATTTGTCATATGTCTGCCCAAAAGGTTGGTCCTCACTTCTTTAGATAGATTAATTACTTAATCTCATCAACAGATGGAGGGATGTTGTGCAGTTTGATGGCCATTTTATACATATTTGAAGCACTATACCAGTGGCCTAATCCATAATTTAGTTCTCTCTCTCTCTGTATATAGTACATCGATATGTAGATCTAGATAGAGGGCAAAATTTTTTTTTTATATTTAGGCTTAACTTTTTGTAAGTTTTTAATTTAAAAAAATATATGCACACACATATATACATGTATGTACATGCATACATATATATGTTAAACCTAAGAATAGAAAAAAAGGGTTTTTTTGCCTTTAGTGTGCACATTCAAACTAATTGCATGCAAGTATAGTTTGGGAAAATGCTGTTCTGTCACCTAGAACCTTTAGTTATAAATATAAACTTGCTTTAAAACAATGCCTTACAACAGCATTTCTTGTGCTGTTGTGACCTAAAAGTGGGTCTCAAGAATATATGAAGGGGTTGTGAACAAACTTTAAAAATGGGTTCTTTAAAGGAGAAAAATGTGGGAAACTGGGTTTTTCCCTTGCAGGCTGGCAGAGTTTCGGCCTGTGAGGGGCTGCTTGTGGACCCCATGCCCCACCGCACACTCTGTGGTGGCTGGGGGTGGGGGGGCAGTGGGTTGAGAGTGAGGGGCACTAGGTCAGGACTGGCTTATCAATGTTTTCAGGTGGGTCCTGGTACAAAAAAGGTTGAGAACCACTGTCTTACAAGATCCTTCAAATTAGGTTGAAATCTTGAAAAGGCCATTTTCCTTGCAACCAGTGTCTGTACTGCAAGAACAAAAAAAATCTATGGTTCTCATGTTACAACTTTGAAATGTCCAAATATTATTCTCCAGCCTAAAGGTATCCATTAAAAACAAATGAAGATGATTAGTGAAATATAGTTAGAATGGATCATCTATTTCCTTCAGTAATTCTCTGCACCTTGTATCACAATATGAGACCCAAGGAAATTAGCCACTTTTTTTTAAGAGTCAGTTTTTGTATGTTACACCTGTTTTAGTTTTTGTCATTTTTATGGTCTGATTATCATAATTGTTTATTTTCTAAACATGTTGAGCTTTCTTTTGCCAGGTGAGACTTGGACACAAAGAAACCACTTAAGTTCAGTCTTGTCAACTGTACCCAAAAAGTTGGAGAAAAATAATTTTCTCTACTTTTTCAGTGTTAGCAATCCTAGGTATTAGTTGTAGCAGGTATGCTTATTTCAGACAGAAAGATGATTTTTTCCTTGATAGTATTATTTTCTGAGAGGCAGAATTGTTTTTTGAGTAAAATAATCAATGAAGGGAGCAAATGGGTTAGTGGGTAAAGAGTTGACAGAGTCAAGCCTTCCAGATACTGTTTCCAGTTTTACAACAGTTAATTTGCTTTTACAGTTTATTAATCTATTAAATGAAGATAAATCTTGCAATGATTTTGCAAAGATTGACTATTTTAAAGTCCATTCTTGTTCTTAGATTAAATGAATCTTCCAGGGGAAAATGATACTTAATAAGTAAAGAAGTTTGTCACAAGAACCATAGCATCACAGTTAGCTGTTTGTTACGCAAATCCTTTCCTTTTGATTTATTTACAACAGGGCTGTCTGACTTCTTGGCAGCTGGGGCCTCATGCCACATGGGCTCCCACACAGAATGCCCTCTGGGTTCTCCCTGTCACAGTGAGGGCCTCCCCTGGCCTCTCCCTGCCACAACTTGGGCTCCACTAGATCCACAAGCTCTGGGCTCCCCAGGCCACGTGGTCCATGCTGCACCATGCCTGGGGCAGTAACAGGAAGCAGAAGCTAGAGCAGGGAGGTGAAGGCTAGAGAGTCTTGCAGCAGCCAGAGCCATGGAGAAAGTGGTAGCCAGGTGGGAGTGAGTTGGACAGCCCTGATTTACACAGTCCTTCTGAAGATAAGTAGCCATGAAGACTACCTAGTAAACAGAAACTAGGATTGCTAACACTGAAAACAGAAACTAGGATTGCTAACACTGAAAAAGTAGAGAAAAATATTTTTCTTCATTTTTTGTATACTTCACAAGACTTTGCACTTAAGTGGTTTCTTTTTGTCTAAGTCTCACCTAGCAAAAGAAAGCTCACTTGCTGTGCTGTACAGTGACTTGCAGAATTTAGCCAGATTTTGTATTTGGATCTCTCCATACAGGAAGTTATAGTCATGCAAATGTTACATATTTTGCCACAATAAAATCATTTATCAAATTTACATATTTTATGTTATATGGGAAGAACAGCATGGGTCAAATGTCTGGGCTGACCTGATCTGTCTGGGGTTAATTTTTAATTTAGAAACAGAAGAAAATTGTGTCAAGCTAGTTTAGAATGAAGATGTCAAAAGTAAAATTCATACCATATGTAATAATACAGTTTTCTTGACTATTTTCTGCAGGAACACAGAAGCTTGCTCTTGAAGATGTGTAGTACGGTGCAAGCTGTAACTGACCATAGAAAAATGGACGTGTTGCAGATACTGCGTAAAACCTCAGAGCGCTTAGAGTGTGATCATTGCAGTTTTAAAGGGACAGACTATGAAAACATACAGATTCATATGGGTACCATCCACCCTGAGTATTGTGATGAAATGGATGCTGCTGGTTTAGGCAAACTTATATTTTATCAAAAAAGTGCAAAACTATTCCATTGCCACAAGTGTTTCTTCACCAGCAAGATGTATTGCAACGTTTATTATCACATCACAGCACAACATGCAGTGCCTGAGAAGTGGAATGAAGAACAGAAAGATCAGGTAGAAGCAGAGTCAGAATCTGCGAAAACAACTGTCACACTGGAGCCACAAAAATCTGCTGTCTCCTCTGAACCACACAAACCTGACCTTTCTCCTGGACCTCCGAAGTCTGAACCTGTTGTTTCCCCCAAGCTTCAGAAAACATCTACATCCCCAGAGCCCCCGAAGCCTGCTCCAGCAGCTTCCCCAGAGCCCCCGAAGCCTGCTCCAGCAGCTTCCCCAGAGCCTCCGAAGCCTGCTCCAGCAGCTTCCCCAGAGCCTCCAAAGCCTGCCCCAGCTGTGTCTCCGGAGCTAAAGAAACCTGCTCCAGCTGCATCTCCAGAGCCAAAGAAGCCTGTCCCCTCCTTGTCCCCAGAGCTGAAGAAACCTGCTCCCTCTGTGTCCCCAGAACCGAAGAAGCCTGCCCCAACTGGATCCCCCGAGCCACCAAAGCCTTCCCCAGCTGGGTCCCCAGAGCCACAGAAGGCTGCTGTGACTGTGTCCCCGGAGCCGCGCAGGCATTCCCCGGCCGTGTCCCCGGAGCCGCGCAGGCATTCCCCGGCCGTGTCCCCGGAGCCACGCAGGCATTCCCCGGCCGTGTCCCCGGAGCCGCGCAGGCATTCCCCGGCCGTGTCCCCGGAGCCACGCAGGCATTCCCCGGCCGTGTCCCCGGAGCCGCGCAGGCATTCCCCGGCCGTGTCCCCGGAGCCACGCAGGCATTCCCCGGCCGTGTCCCCGGAGCCGCGCAGGCATTCCCCGGCCGTGTCCCCGGAGCCAAGCAGGCATTCCCCGGCCGTGTCCCCGGAGCCGCGCAGGCATTCCCCGGCCGTGTCCCCGGAGCCACGCAGGCATTCCCCGGCCGTGTCCCCGGAGCCGCGCAGGCATTCCCCGGCCGTGTCCCCGGAGCCAAGCAGGCATTCCCCGGCCGTGTCCCCGGAGCCGCGCAGGCATTCCCCGGCCGTGTCCCCGGAGCCACGCAGGCATTCCCCGGCCGTGTCCCCGGAGCCGCGCAGGCATTCCCCGGCCGTGTCCCCGGAGCCAAGCAGGCATTCCCCGGCCGTGTCCCCGGAGCCGCGCAGGCATTCCCCGGCCGTGTCCCCGGAGCCACGCAGGCATTCCCCGGCCGTGTCCCCGGAGCCGCGCAGGCATTCCCCGGCCGTGTCCCCGGAGCCAAAGAAACCTGCCCCAGCTGTGTCCCCTGAACCACGAAGGTATGCTCCAGCCGTGTCCCCTGAGCCAAGGAGGCATGTTACTCAGATGCGAAGGCCAGCTCCTACTGCTTCCCCTGAGCCACGGAGGCCTGCTTCCTCAGGTTCTCCAGAGCCATGGGGACCTGCTCCCACAGTTTCTCCTGAGCCTTGGAGATCTACCCCAGTTATTCCACATGAACTGCAGAAATCTTCCCCCAGTGTTTCACCTTGGGCCTCAAAATCTGCCCTGGCTCCACCCATAGAGCCCCGCAGGTCTGGCCCAGAGCCCCGAAGGCCAGGCCCCGTTGTGTCGCCAGAGCCCCGACGGCCAGGCCCTGTTGTGTCCCCGGAACCTCGGAGGCTTGTTCCTGACCCTTGGAAATCTACATCCTTCTCAGAATCTCAGAAATCTCTTGTATCTTCTGAGCCATGGAAGCCCATCTCATCTGTTTACCCAGAAGGTTGGAAACCTGTTCTTTCCCCTGATACATGGAAGCCGTCTCCCCCTGTTTCACCTGAACTCCGAAAGCCTAGTCACACTGTTTCCTCTGAAGTTTGGAAACCTTCCTTCTTTTCTGAGATCCGCAAACCTGGTCCCTCTGTTTCTCCTGAGCCTTGGAAACATGCTGAGTCCCGGAAGTCTACTTTCTTTCCTGAGACTCAGAAGTCTGCTCCTGCTATTTCCCCTGAGGTACAGAAACGGGCCCACTTCCCTGAACCTCGGAAACGAGCTCTCTTTCCTGAGTCTCGAAAATCTGTTCCTGCTGTTTCCTCTGAGGTGCAGAAACGTTCTTTCTTTGCTGAACCTCAGACACAGATGTCTGCTGGTTCCTCTGAAATGCAGAAACATGCTGTCTTTGCTGAGGCCCAGAAACCTGCTCCTGTTTCTCCTGAAATCCAGAAGTCTGCCTTTTTCCCAGAGCCTCAGAAACTTTCTGCTGTTTCCTCTGAAGCCCAAGAACATACCTGTTTCCCAGAGCCTCAGAAATCTGCTCCTGTTGCATCTCCTGAGAGCCAGAAACATGCCCTCTTCGTGGAGTGCCAGAAACCTGCGCCTACTCTTTCGTCTGAGACCCAGAAGCAAGCTCTTTTTGTTGATTCTCAGAAATCTGCTCCTGCTCCTGCTGTTTCCCCTGAGACCCAGAAACATTCCCTTTCTACTGAACCCCATAAACCTGCTCCTGTTGTTTCCTCTGAGGTACAGAAGCCTCCTCTGTCTGTTGAACCCCTCAAACCTGCTCCTGCTGTTTCCTCTGAGGTCCAGAAAAATACTGTCTTCCCTGATCTCCATAAACCTGCTCCATCTGTTTCCTCTGAGCCTCAGTCACCTAATGAGCCTGATGAAAGTGACTTCTTATCTCAGAATTTAGAAGATCAAAAACCACTGGATGATCTGTTGCCTCAAGAAGAGCAGCCAGTCTTAAGTAAGGAACCTCCAGAAGATGCATTGTATTCATGTCCAAAGAAGAAGCTCAAGAAGGAGAATCAGGAGAACTCTGATTCTGAACTAAATAGCAGTGAATGTGCAAAAACAGAGATGGAGATGGATTCAGTGGAGGTAAAGGAACAAGAATCCAACAGTGATCAAGAACAATTTGATGCAGAATCATCTGAATACAGCAAAGAGAGCAAAACAGAACCAGCTACTCCCATTCAGCCACAGTGTGTACTGCAGTTTACAGAAGAGAAGGAAGCTTTCATTTCAGAGGAAGAAATAGCAAAATATATGAAGCGTGGAAAGGGAAAGTATTATTGCAAAATTTGTTGCTGTCGTGCAATGAAAAAAGGTGCTGTCTTGCATCATTTAGTGAACAAGCATAATGTGCAGAGTCCAT